GATGCACACAACCCCCCTGCACATATGGCCACTGCAGCCGTGGCCACCGCGGCTGCCGCCGCACGCACAGCCGCAGCCGCTGCAGTGCATGTCGCAGCCGCCATTTTGAAACTCAAAATGGCAGCCGTGATGTGTTTGTGCATGCGCAGGAGTACTGCACATGTGCAAACACGTTGCAATCACCATTTTGATTTCCAAAATGGCGGTCGCAGCATGTGCGGCCACACAGCGGCAAAAACACACCACAGCGGCGGCACGCGGTGGCGGCGGCAACCTTCGGCCTGGGCCAGTAAGTCCAGGGACCTGGGCCTTAACCGGCCCCCGGGCCGTAGGTTGCTGGTCCCTGCTCTGGAATTTAACATTAGTTAGCTGATGTCCTATTTCAAATGTAGGAATTTTAATAAATAACTTTCCCCACCCTTCTTTATAATACAATTAATTGAGAATTCACAATTGACACTGATGTCATCCAATACGTGGGCTAAAAAAAAGAAAAAGAAAAAACAATTTCAATCTTATATGACATAGCTTCTTCTTATAAGATTTATTCTGTTTTTTTAAAAGCACTAAGGAATTTGAACAGTCAATGTCTTAGCATTCACACAAAGCTAGATTTTCTTCTTTTTCTTGAGTGGACAGAAATTAATTAAGCCTGTTTCAAACAGATTTCACTTGGGGGTCTGAATGTGCTGTTAGGATGCTGTGATGTTACTGCCTCTACAAAACCTCCCAAGCATTTTTCCTAGTAGTCCCTCTTGTTTAGTGGAATGAGAAGACCTTAACATAAATCAAGATATTGGCAGGGAGACAACACCAAAAGGTGAGGCATTGGCAAACAGCAAATAATATATGAGCTTCTTTTTTTGATAGAGACTAATAGTGAATATAGCCAGAGCTGGCTCAAGGTATTTTTCTGACTGAGGAAGAACTTCTATCCAGCTTGCTTCCACCTAGTCAAGCTGCAAACTTGCTAACTCCTAGACTAGCAAGGTTTTTTCATCTTGTTTGTGACAGCAAAATAAACAAGAGTCTAGTGGCACCTGAAGGACTAGCAGGTTTTGTTTGACATAAGTTTTCACAGATGGCAGCTCCATTCCTCTGTCGACGCTGTCCATGGAAGCCCATGCAGATAACGTGTGTCAGTCTTTAAGGTGTCATGCCACACGTTTTGTTGGTGGAATTTGTGATTGTATATTAGATTATAATTCCGAGTGCTCCTCAATGTGAGAGAAATGCTGATTATATAAGGATTATGTTCAATAATTTATCTCCCTAATAGGCTTCTACATTTCCCTGTACTGATTTCAAATGTAAATTTCTTTTCCTCTCTGCCCCCTTGCTGCAGCAAGACAAAATATTTGACCCAAACAGTGAGGTCTTCTAAAGACATGTCTTACACTGGTGCAGTTTAACTTACTAAGAAATGATGTATCTGTCACATCAGAAATGGTATGGCTAAATTTACATATGGCGTTGTGGGCATTCATTACATATAGCACCATAATTCAAGTATATACACCAACCACTGAAGCAAAACAGGAAGAAATTGATAGATTTTATGAAGGAATACAGGAAGAAATTGACAACACACCAACACAGGATATCAAGCTGATCATTGGAGATTGGAACACAAAGGTTGGAAGTAAAGAAGAATAAAAAACAGCAGACAGATTTGGACTAGGCAAAAGGAATGAAGCAGGTGAGCATCTGATAGATTTTTGTGAAGCCAACAACCTATTCATTGCAAACACATTTTTCATACAACCAAAGAAAAGGTTATATACATGGACATCACCAGATGGCCAACACAAAAGCCAAATAGATTTACATAATTGGAAGTAAAAGCTCTATACTGGTGGCCAAGACTAGACCAGGTGCTGATTGTGTCACAGATCACAAACTACTCATTTCAAAAATAAAGGTAAAACTCAAGAAGAGAACAAAACCAGTCATCATATCAAAATACAATTTAAACAACATTTCCACAGAATTCATTGACAATATAAGGAACAGATTTGCAGTACTAATAGATCATGAACCAGAAGAGCTTTGGTTTGAAGCCAGGGACATAATAAAAGAAGAATGCATAAAGACACTTCCAACAGACAAAAGGAAAGTGAAGAAACCATGGATGACAGATAAAACGCTACAAGCAATAAATGAAAGAAGAGAAACAAAACAAAAAGGAGATAGGAATAAACTAAGAACCATGAATGCAACAGTACAATGGCTAGTGCACAAAGATAAGGAAAATTGCTACAACAACCAATGCAGAGAAATAGAAGACAACAACAAAAGGGAAGAGAGAGACCTATTCAATAAGATTTGAGAAATCAAATGAAAGTTCAAACCAAGGACTGGGATGCTCTATGACAATAAAAATAACATAATTCAAGACCAGGAAGAAATACAAAGACATTGGATGCAATACAAAGAAGAGTTTTATAAAAGAGATGACACATAGAATGAAGAGCCAAATGAAGATGAACCCCAAATTTTAAAAACTGAGGTGGAAGCTTCAATCAAAGAAATTGTAAAAAAAAAAAAAAAAAAAAAAAAAAAAAAAAAAAGACTCCAGGAACAGATGATATACCAATAGAACTGTTGCAA